GGCACCCCGTGAAATATCCCCTTACCTGAACCGAACCCTAAAGCCGTTACGCCCTGCACCATATGTGCTGACGCCACACACGTGATGCTCAGAGTGGGCCCAGTTGATTGCCATGTACACAGTGGTGGCATAGCTTGCACCGGGCAAAGAAATCCTCCATTTCCTAGTCTCCCCTCTGAAATACAACAATAGAATGAAATACAACAATACAATGAAATACTTGTACTACAACTAATGGTATTATACAGAATAAATTACAGTAATATACAGTAAATATACTCAATACTTCAATTACTAACTGTCATCAAGTGCATTTTGATGTACAGATGTGCAAATGCTCATAGAACTACAAATGCACCAATATGTCCTCTTGTCAACGCCACTCACTCGCATAGGATGTTATGAAAACAAAACACATCAGCATCAGTATCATCTGGCAAAATTGGCCCACTACAAAGAGAGGGAAGACAGTGTCCTCTATTTTCACAAAAAAATAAATAAGCGATCACTTTCAAAGCATCCAATATTTATTTAACAACACCTATTCCCAACACAAATGTATTGAACTGATAGAGCCATCACAGAGGAAGTCCACAGACAAGACAAGGACAATCAAGTTATAGTGCAATATAAACATTAACATAAACAGAAATCTGCCTGTTTTCTCTCAACAACAATAAACAATTTACAGCATTTTCATGGAGCCACCACAGGGAAAAAATAAATAAAATGCAGTATCTGTATAATTTAAATTTATTTTACAACAGAAAACAACCTGTTAGGGAGACAGCAATTAAGCACATCGCAGCAGAATCCTGGCCGTCAGTTGAAGATGCCGGGGGCCCTTCGCTCTCCGGGCTGTTAGCTAGCGCCGGCAGTGAAGAAATGTCCTGGCTAGCTGCGCTGTTCTCGTTGATAGAAGCTGCCTTAGCAGAATAGTTGGAGTGGAGTGAAGAAATAACCTATTTTTGGTATATACACTTTAAATTTTCTGTGTTTCCGATTTCCTTGTCCTTTTTTAATTTTCGTTTAACGCTCCTTAGCTTCTCCATGTTTGCATTTTTTGAATTGTGTACAGGCACTTGACATCACGCAACCTGCTCAGTGCACATTTATTGGCATCACCTTTGACCCGCCTCATACGGGCTGACCAATGAGGAGAGGGTCACAGGCCCTCTCCTCATCGGTCAGCGTGCTGTGACTCACAGCTCACGGTCACAGGCAGCCAGGGCCGGGGATTCTGTGCAGCGCATAGACTGTATAGATGCAGCGCAACGGCTCAGATGGACAGTTTAACATATAAGCGAGAGATAACTAGATATTTTGCTTGTGCCCTCACTGCCCCGGGCCCTTTAGAGGTCGAGGGCCCCTGGGAAATTGCCCATATGGTTAATCCGGCCTTGTTGACAGCGTGCGTGGGCCAGTGCATTACCTTTGGCTCCCCATCTCAACTGTCCAGTCATCGGATGAAGCAGGGGGAGTCACCAAGGTAACTCACTAAATCTAACCCCTAAGCCCCTAGCCATGCACCTCATCATTTCCCCTACCCTAACCCCCTAACTTAATAAACCTAACCCGGGCCATGATTGATTAACAGCTCTTTCAGCAGCACACTGCTCCACCCTCTGTTCCTCTGCTCCTCTGGGGATGTTTTCCAATAATTGAACTTGGGTTAGGGTTAGGGTTAAGAACTGATCTTTAAAAAAAACATGATATACAGATACAGATATTCATGCTCCTGTATGAACAGGGCCTAGCTTCTTCTGCAACAATAATGTTAACAACCCCCTCCTTCCTTCTTTTCTCACTCTCACTCTGTCTCTCTCTCTCTGCGCCCCACCCTTGTCTCTCTCTTTCTTCATCTCTCTCTCTCAACCCTCCCTCCCTCTCCCTCCCTCCCTTTTTCTCTCTCACACTGTGATTGACAGGTAAAGCCTCAGGTGATCATTTTTTTATTTTCTCAGGTGTGTTCAGTCATTACCTGTTCAGATCTGTTCTTTGTGTCAGTGAAGCTGCAGCAGGTGAGTTCATTTTTATTCACATTCCTTTAGTATCACATCTAATATGTGTAAGATAACAAATATATAAACAAACCGATGTCAGAGGTAGCCTTAGATTTACAGCATGACTATAGCTACTAACTCTACATCTACCAAAAAGCCATCGACTAATCCCACGTCTACTTGCTTGTGATCTAAATGCATCATTATATGAAAATTCAATGAGAAAACCGTCTGAAACAACCCTAACACAATGAAAACATTTTAAATTGTCTCTTTTGAAAAGGGATATGTATTTTTCTTGTTAATGTTGGTTAGTTTGTGGATGTTTTTATTGTGTTTTTGTGACAACAGTTGATCATGTTCTACCTCAGCATTCTCTGCTCAAAATAAAGTGAACACCTACAATAGAAAACATTTTCCTGGAGCCACTTAAGTTAATCAACAAAGATTAGACTTTAAATTTATTCTTACTGGTTAGGGATTTTAGTGTGAATACTATCATTTAGATCACATCTCTCCCAACATATACTGAAAGATATTATTATGTTAAACAGCCGAATACATTCCTGAAACAGTGTGTTCATTACTCACATTGACATTTAGATCTCAGACATCTCCCATCCCAACTGCACATTAGCCACTGAATAAAAAATCCACATGAATCAAACTGCACATTAGCCACTGAATAAAAAATCCACATAAATCAAACTGCACATTATCAATTGAATCAAACTGTCTCACTCTGTGAGGCAACAATGACTGTAGCTGGTCTCAGCACTTTCCCCCTGATGCTTCTGTAGGAGTTCTTACACAAATACATTCTGTTCTTGTCGTATTTCCATTTTTTGTCCTTTAGTCTCTTTTATCCACTCTACCAGATATTATTGTAAACATTTTTAATGATCTAATTATTGGTTATAATGATATTATATTATATAGTAAAGGTGTCTGTTTATAATGTGGTGTTCTCTTGTTACATTATATTGTATTACATTATATTATATTGTAAAGTTATGTAGATTGTTGTCTCTTTGTGCAGAGTGAAGTTAGAAAACCTTGTGTTCATCCTCCCTGGTTTATCTGCAATGAAGATTTTTAAAAGCAATTTCTTTCTTACGGTTCATGTGTGTGGTTTAGTTCTGATGCAGCATGAATGAAAAAATAATAGTGACACTGCTGGGGCTACAGTATCAGTAGTACTGTGGTAATACTGTGACCTAAAAGAGTCAAAGTGGAGATCAGCTGAGGCTAAAAGCTGAAGCAGTGTCTGGGTATCAGTACTGAAACAAATTACAATCAGACTGAAACCAGGAGGCTGCTGATCCAGTCTGAGGGGAGAGCGTCAATTGAAGAGACAGGAAAAGATGAGAGTAAGATGTGGAACGGGTGGTCTGAGTGTCAGTCACCATCCAACCCTAACCCTTACTTAATAAAGGAAGACAATGATTCTAAGTGTGTTCATCTGTTCAAGGTGCATGAAAGCAATTGGCAGATCTACGCAGCTCTTTTTTCTCTGATGATCATGTTGGAACAGTTTGTTCTTTATGTAGAAGATTCCCATAATTACTGCTGAGGCCCAAACATTCCACTCAAAGTTCATCAGTCCCTTCAGGGAGTAACCACTTTGTTGTTGTTTGAATGCATGATCAGTGAGGAAGAACGATTTAAGAGTATTGGCTGTATATGTCCTGGGTTAGGCTCAATTAAAAATCAATTTTGTAGGATTTAATATAAATGTAGTTTAATATTATTAAAATATTTTCATCAGTGTTAGATCACCTGAAATTTAGAATCATTATGATCCTGTTGCTTACGATTAATGATAGACCGATATGGGTTTTTCCAGGCCGATACCGATTATTAGTAGTCAAGGAGGCCGATAACCGATATTTGGAGCCGATATTCATTGCAGTAAAAGTGAAAATATTGGCGTCAAAATTTTGAATTATACAAACTCCAACACTTACATTTGAGTAATTGCCTTTAAGCATATGTTTATTAAACAGATTTTCAGATAACATATTAAAGGTTTTTTTTCTTAGAATTTTAAAACAAAGATGTCTATTGTCTAACAATAAGTGCAGGGAGTTCCAAGGCTCAGCAGCATCTCTAATAATGTGAAATGAAAACTTAAACAAATAAATAGCACCCTGAGGTTTTCAACTGTAAATAAAGTTTACAGTTCAAACAAAAACAAAAAGTGCAGGGAGTTCCAAGGCTCAGCAGCATCTCTCTCTCTCTCTCACTCACTCACTCACTCACTCACTCACACTAGGGCTGTCAACGAATATTCTAAATTCGAATATATATTCAAATAATTTTAAAAAACGGAGATTCGATTGTGAAAATTTATATTCGACTTTGGAAAAAAACACATCAGCGGCTGCTTTGCGAGTGGGCGCACTGCATGACGGGACAGGCCACAGGAGTTGCACTTGCACAGCGTCACTCTGCTGAAAGTGAGACGCGAGCACGTGTTCAGGCACACACACACACACACACACACACAGCTGACGTGCCCCCTAAACTCGCAACACACACTCCCGCTACCTTCAGCTGACGTCAGCCACAGAGAGCCGTTATTACCGGACTGGATGTCTGACCCACACACACGTCCACCATCACGGACTGTTTCCATGGGGATATGTTCAGCAGCCCGTCTGGAGGGACTGCGAGCGAGCAGAGCGGCTCATGTTGATATAACGTCATTGGGCTCACAGTTACTAGTACCTGAGAGTTGTAGAGGGCTGGATGTTTATTACAATTTCGGGAGAGTTTGCCGCCTGAACTTACCTTCGAAACAGATCTGCTCTCCGTGGCCTCCTCTCTCTGCCGTGTGTGTGAGCAGTGTGCGTGCACAGCTCTCACTGCTGATTGGCTGTTACCTGGCTCTGTGTATAACCAATCAGGTGGTGCTGTGGGTGGGACAATGCAGGAGACAGTAGAGACGACAGAGGGGCGTGGCTGCATCGAAACAAACCCGGTTTGAAATGAATCTCTTATAAACCGTCGGATTAAAAAAAGGCCGATGCCGATATGAGTCAAAATGCTGAAAATCGGCGCCGATAATCGGTGGATCCCTATTTACTATTGAGCACTTATTTGTAGATCAGAAGGCTCCGACATGTTTCTACAGGAGCCCAGAGCGGGTTAGGTTTAAAGCCTTCACCTTTTTTATGTCGCCTGAGGGCCACTGTAGAATCTGCACACTTGGAAGAGGAGCTTGGGGTAAGGGAGAGGTGTTCAGTAAGTTTTAGGGGTCGCTACTCTCTTCTTGATTAATTAAATTAAAGTATAATTTATTATCTATGCACATTTAGGAAGATCCATTGAGTCAACATTTAAAGTAATCAGATCAAACATCAGCAGTCTTTGTGGGACTTATGAATTCTTCATAGAATGTTTGATTTCTTTGTGGATCACTTTCTTCGCTGATGTGTATGCATCAGTATTTGGTTTGTTTGTAAGATAAACCCCACAACAGATGTTTTTGTCCAGTTTATTCCACAGTTTTAGAGATAACTGTATGTGGTGTATGTTTTAATTTACTAAAACATTTTTTACTGTTGGACATTCAGATCCATAATTCTAACCCTTATTGTTCCAACATCCCAGTTGATAGAGGTTTTGACACTGTAGGTCCTACAGTCTCATTCTTAACAGCAGTTGATGTGGTGGCTCTAACCCAAACCCTTCGTAGAATGTTTGATTTCTTCACAGTTCACTTCAGTTTATGTGCGTTTGTATAATCGCATGTTTCTGAACGTGACACATGATGAAAATGTCTTTTTTTTTCAGAATCCATGATTGATCAGTCTGTCAGAGAAACATGATCAACATGATCTTCATCTTCATCAGTGAGTTTAATATCTTCATCATCTCATTTATCATCATTCCTCCATCCACCCATCCTTACATCATCCATCCATCATCTATATCACTTATCATCTTGAAGGTCATGGTTGGGGGGGTAAACTGGAGCCAATTCCAGCTGACATTAGGTGAGAAGCAGGGTTAAACCTGGAAAGGTGACCTGTCCATCACACCTGTGATCATGTTTGATTGTGGGACAAACAGAAAACACACAAACACAGAACATGTGAACTCAAAAAGTGATTCGAACTGGGAACAGTGCTAACCACTGCACAACTGTGGCACCACTCATTTATCTCTACCTTACAAATTATTTTTGTTATTAATCTTAGACTTTAAAATCTGTCATTAGTTCTTCTTCCAGTGACTCAGCTCCAGGACCTTCAGGAGCTCCAGGACCTCCAGTGTCCTGGCAGCTCATGTAGTCCTCAGCTGGGTGACCTGATGGTAGGTCGATCTGCTCAGCTCTCAGCCTCATCAACCTGTGGTCTGGATGGAGCTCAAAACTACTGCATCATCGGATACCTGGAGGTCAGAAGACACTGTGGGTTAGGGTTAGGTTATATAATATGATAACTTTAACATGATATATAATAGTATTTGATTGAGTATTTGATTTATATAATGTAAAATAAACACGGAGTCAGTGAAGGATCAGGTTTTTTTTCTTTCTGACATGTTTCTGGCTCATTTTTGAGTTTTAGAGTCAAACATGTTCAGATCTGTCATTTTATTATTGTGTCTTCTACTTCTCTCTCTTTACCCTGAGGAGCATTTCCACTTGTCATCCTCATTACCACATTCTTCGCTTTGTCTCTTCTCTCTCACTTCATCTCTTCTCTTTCACTAACCCTGTTTTTCTAGAAGATGATGATGATGAAGATGAAAATGGTGATGATGATGAAGGTAATGAATGAATGAATACCTTTTCATCCATTAGGAGGAGAAGAAATGTTTCACATGTGACTCACGTCGGCCATACAATCACTATAGCAACCCGAACAGCCACCGCATCGAGAACATCATCACAACCTTTGACCCTGAGAGAAAAACTAAATGGTGGCAGTCTGAGAACGGTGAGTTTAGAAATGAGACAAACATCATGTGACCAGTATGATGTCATCAGTCAATCAACTAAACCTTTATTTAAACAAATGTTGGCAGGTGTTCATCATGTCAGTATCCAGTTCAATCTGGAGACCGTGTTCCAGTTCAGTCACCTGGTTCTCACCTTTAAGGTGAACGCACACACAAACACACACCAGTGACATCACTGTTTTTTTTATTTGATTCAGTTTCATTTATATGACATCAAATCATAATATACATAATATCAAGACTCTTTACATAGAAGATAAAGACCTAAAAATTAGAGAGAAACCAACAGTTCCCACAATGAGCAGCTCTGACGACTGAGAGAGAACAAACTCTTTAACTGGGAGAAACCTCTAGAACCAGACTCAGTTTGGAGACATCTGAGTCAACTGAGGCGTGAGGAGAGAAAAATGGGGAAAAGGAGAGAGAGAGAGATTTGATTTTTAAAAACCTTTTATTTAAAAAAACATGACACAACAAAAACATTGTTTTCATGATAACAAATAGAAACAATACAACAAACACTCACTCTTTACCTAAAGGTAATGTTGAACCTTAAGTTGTCGTCAGACACACAACATATTGTATCCTTATAGCACCATTTTTCAATAAAATCATCCATGTTCTTCTCTAAATAAATTCTAAAATCAACTCAAACTCTGGCCTTGACTGAGGAGATGAAAACAGGAAGTGCTTCCTGTTCTGTCCTTCCCTCTACTGTGCTCTTTTTGCTGCTGTATATGGACATTTTGGCCTCTCCTATTATCAGGTTGAGCAGCTGCCACTTTATGGTGTCAGCTTTCTTGTTGCAGACGCCGAAGATGAAGGCCATGTTTCACCAAACTGTTTAAAAACAAAAGGCAGTGCATTAAAAAAGTGACAGAGTCTTTTACATTCATAAAAACTTTGAATAACAGTCTCCACTTCCCCACAAAATGGACACTCATTAGAAACAGAAGGATTAATAATAGAGAGAAAAGCGTTGACTGCAGAAGCACCATGTAAAATCTTCCATCCTAAATCTCCATTTCTCTTTCTTCACACTGTGTCAGCTCTCCTGTCTGTTTGTTTTTGTTTAGTGCTTTCACATACTGTGTGTAGACAGTTTGTCCTTCAGCTGTGTGCATGTCCACCAGCTTACAGTCCGTTCCACATAATAAGGGTCCTGAGACCCTCTGCAGATTTTGTACGAAGCCCATTTCTGGAAATGGATCAGACACTTCAGGAGTTTCCCCTCTGCAGTACTTCTGCAACATCTTGACCTCCTCCTCTGTCAGTCTCTCAGACCACCTGCTCAGGATACTCCTGCTATGCCAAATGGACTTTGGTCCAAGTAGTGAAGCCACTCCAGTTTCTCCTCCCCCCAACAGCTTTTTCAAGGATTTTGGAACTGAAGGTTTGATATGGGTCTATAATTAGCTAAAACCTCCGGATCAACAGTGACATTTTTAAGCAGAGGTTTAATTACCACTACCTTAAAATCATCTTGGCTGGTGGAACACCACTTCTTCTCCAGCTTCTGTGATGTTATATATGTTATATATATACAAATGTAAGTATGTTTGTGTCAGTGATGTCACTTCCTGTTGTCACTCTGCAGAGCTTCCGTCCAGCAGCCATGTTGGTTGAGCGATCAAAGGACTTTGGACAAACGTGGAAAGTTTTTCGTTATTTTGCAGAAGACTGTTCGCTTCATTTCCCTTCGGTGTCCAATGAGGCAGCTGACAGTGTTGATGACATCATCTGTGACAGTAGATACTCCGGATCAGAACCGTCCACCAATGGAGAGGTGACACATTCATTATTTATAAAAAAACATACACTATGTGTGTGAGGTAAAATTTAGAAAATGTTTTCTTTTCTTTTTCCACTAGGTAGTGCTGAAAGCGCTGGATCCAATATTTGAAATACAAAACCCGTACGCATCAAATATCCAAGGTGATGGTTTACGACAGAGAATGTTGGATGTCTGTTATTAATAAAAGTCAAAACCTTATAAACAGCATTAACATGTAGATGTTTAAATATAATAAAAAATAGGTAAATGTATAACATGTTTGTTTTGGACATATGAAAAGAGCATATGCCAACATTTAATTGTTTTTATTCATCATCTTCAGACCTGATCACTTTGACTAATATCCGGGTCAACTTCACTCGTCTCTTCACGCTCGGTGACACCCTGCTGAGTCGAAGACGCAGGAACCCTCTGAATAAATATTACTATGCTCTTTACAACATGGTAGTCCGAGGAAGCTGCTTCTGTAATGGACACGCCAGCAGGTGCACACCTGCGGACGGACAACGTGGGGATGTCTTCACCCAAACTGGCATGGTACACAAACTCAAGCTGTTTTCAGACATGACCTTAAGTCTGCACGTGTTCCCAAGATGTTCTGGAGGTTCTACAAGTGAGAATACAAATGTCTCATCAGTTGCTCGTAACATTCTTTGGAACATTTTCTGCAATGCTCTGCATGATCTACCTAGGCTCCTCCTCTCGCCTGAATGTTCCCAACATTTTCCTGTTAGGGTTAGGGTTGTGAACAAGTCTAACCTGGTCAATCTGCTGCTGCTTCATAGGAGAAACACTAATTACACAAAATGTACAGACAAGTGTTAGGGTTAACCCTAACCCCTAACACCCTAACACCCTAACCCTAAATTTAAACAGCTTCAGTTACATCAACAATTCATTTTAATATTGGATCAAAAATCAATCATTTCAAACTGGGGTAAGTGGAGAAACAGGACACCAGGATAACCCTAACCCTAAAGAATAAAATAAAAGATGAGTCCAAATGATTTCTTCACATTTCTTTCTTTAAACTGTTTGAACAAATGAACACAATGTGAGTGTTCAGGTGATTCCAGATGTTCTCTACTCTCCAGGTTCATGGTCGTTGTGTTTGTCAACACAACACAGCTGGAAACAACTGTGAGAGATGTCAGAACTTTCACCACGACTCCCCCTGGAGGCCAGGAGGAGGAGACACAGATGACATCTGCAGGAGTATGTTGAATGGATCTTTGTGTACATTTAATATACATTTAATTTTACTTTTCAAACAAACAGGCAGAACTATTATTATAAACAGGGTTATATGAAATAAATGTTTAAAAGTTTATTTTGAGTAATTTCATCTGTTTCATTCTTTGTTAGAATAAAAACATTTAATATTTTTTTGTTTTTACTGACTCATGTTTCATGTCCTCTCAGGATGTAACTGTCATGGTCACTCAGACTCTTGTCACTTCGATGCCATTCATTTTGAAGCAACGGGTGGTATTAGCGGTGGCATGTGTGACAACTGCCGCCATGACAGGATGGGTCCTCACTGTGAACAGTGTCGACCTTTTCTATATCAGGATCCTCAGAGAGCGATGGACGACCCTCATGCCTGCATACGTATGCTTCCACTGCTTTCATTCATTGTGATCGAACAAGTTCCACTTTTCTCCATCAGGAAATGTGTAATATTATTCAAGTAAAGTAAAGTAAAATAAAGTAAAAATCTAATGATAAAGCAAAACCTTGAAACACTGCTTTTCAATGATACGATATTAAAGGAGCAAGAAATTACATTTAAGCAACATTACAACAAGATAACAGCAGTTAGGGTCAGGGTTAGGTTAACCTTAAAAAAGAACAACTCATGTAGAAATACTTGAAAAAAGCCCAGCACTAACGCTAACCTTTATAGCTGAGTTGGGATCAGTGGTAATGGGTCAGATGACATCATGACATGTTCAACGTGATGATTTCATCTGACACGTTGATGTAACAACCAATTCCTGTGTTTCAGCTTGTGACTGTGATGCAGCTGGAGCTCATGGCGGCGGTCTCTGTGAAGCTCAGACTGGTCAGTGTCTCTGTAAAGAAAACGTGGAAGGCCGACGCTGCGAGCGCTGCAAACATGGCTTCTTCGGCCTGAGGCAGGACAACCCGGCCGGTTGTCAGGGTAGCAACATATGAACGTATCAAATGTATTCATAAACAAAGAGTGATGAAGCTCAATCTACATGATGTGTGTTTGTGTGTGTGTGTGTGTGTGTGTGTTTCAGCGTGCAGGTGTCATGTTTTGGGAAGTGTTGGGTCATGTGATCAGCTGACAGGAAATTGTGAATGTGACAGTTTGGCGAGCGGCCCGCTGTGTGATCGATGTCCAGTAAGTTTCATCTTAAAGTTTTTCCTCTGACAGAGACTATATTTTCAAATCAACTTTATTAATAAGAAAAATCACACAAGCAGCTCAGACACAGTTAAAGTTTAAAGTTCACTTTGTACGTTGCCTCCTATGTCAGCACATTCTCTGAAGGAGGCGGGCCCTGACACACTGTTAAAATGTCTTTAATTATAATTAGTGCATTCTAGTAATGCACTAAAAATAATCAAATCCGATAATGATTTTAAAAGTACTTTAAATTCTTTTAATGTTTGTGATACTTTAACAAGAGATTAAACGTAAGATATTTGTGTTGCTGTCATGTTCAGGAAGGTTTCTGGGGTTTAGGAAACTCAGCGATTAGATGTTCGCCATGTGACTGTGACGTCGGAGGAGCTCACAGCATCATGTATGTTCTTTTTTATTCTTATTTCAAAATGGTCAGTTTTGTCCCCAGGTGTCATCAGGTCTCACCGGGTGTCATCACCTCAGACTCATCAAACAGCTGAAATTGATTTATGAACCATTTGAATCTTATGTGAATCAGTCCACAGACGTCTTCCTGTCTTCTCAGGTGTTCTCCAGAGGATGGACAGTGTCACTGTTTACAAAACATGATAGGTCGACGCTGCTCTGACCCCGCCCCTGGTTTCTTCCTACCTTCACTTGATTACTTCCTGTACGAGGCAGAGCTGACAGCTCCACTTCCTGGAGGAAGTCATTCTTCTACTGATGCTCCTTCATCTTCTTCTCTGGTGATTGCCACAAATAATGTGTATTTTATACATGTAGTATTACTGTGCATTTTATACATGTAGTATTACTGTGCATTTTATACATGTATAATTGAGTATTTTCTATGTACTTTTATTGTGTATTTTTCATGTATTACTGTGTATTTCACGTGTAGTATTCCTGTGTATTTGCAGTTGAATCCAAGTGTGTTACCTCAGTGTGAGAAATACTACAGAGAGCAGGGTTTTGACTTTAAATTCACCAACGGACGAGTGGTTTTGGTTCGGAGGATTCGGCGACTCGCCCACCGGAGGAGGGAGGGGCAGGTGAGTTGTCTGATATCATACTTTGTTTTGACTGGTCTGATTTCTCAGCCAATCAGATTGTCTCTTGAGCCCTGAGTGTTTCCACTGATTCTTTCTTTGGGTCCTGCAGCCAACCAGCATCCCTCTGGACGCAAGTCATGCCCTGCAGATTATCCCCCGTCTGCAGACACGTGATCAGCCAGTCACCTGGACCGGCCTGGGATTGGTCAGAGTGTTAGAGGGGGCTGGGCTTCGATTCACTGTAGATAACCTACATTCATCAACGGATTACCATTTAGTGATTCACTATGAGACAGAGGTGAGAAGAACCATCAGGGTACTTATAGTTCTAGTTCAGGCTCTGGTTCTGACTCTGGCTCTGGTTGTGCTTCAGATTGTGTTTGTGGTTCTAGTTCACATCGTTAGTCAATTACTCAGAATAAATTCTGATGAAAACAAGGTTTTGATTCTCATCCTCCTGGACCTGAGCTTTTCATACGAATTGAACATACCATCCTTATCACTCATCTTGAGAAGTTGGTTTGTCTGACAGAATCCTGAACAAAACTTAAATTAAAGGGAGGAAGTTCTACGTCAGCATGATACGTCATAGGGTAGCTGCCTTGAACCTTTATTATTCTCACTGTACATGCTCCCACTGGGTGACATCATCAGAGCGCACAATATTTGTTTCCATAGATACGCAGATGATACACAACTGTACGTGGTTGCTGAGCCAAATGAAGACAACGCTCTGCGCTCCATCACGAAATGTCTTTCAGCAATAAATACATGGATGAGCCATAATTTCAGAATCAGAATCAGAATCAGAAAAGCTTTTATTGCCAAGTAAGTTTGCACATACATGGAATTTGTTTTGATCTTGTTGGTGCTTGTCAGGCATCTCTAAATATAACAAGATAAAAAAAATCAAKTATTAAAATTTAACAATATAAATACAAAAATATATACACAGTATGTTCTTAAAGCTTAATGAGGATAAAACAGAAATCCTTTACCACAACAAAATCAAAAAGAGAAGCGCTGTAAAATAATGTGTGTCAGCAGTTTATTTGGATTACAATCAGAGGAGAAAAGTTGTTATCTTGGATCTTAACTTTAACTTTGATCGGAGTTTCACATTAACAAGGAAACTACAACCTAATTTTTCATCTTAGAAACATAGCAAAGGTTCAGTCATCTATAAGTCAGATGCTGATTCATGTTTTCATTTCTACTGGACTGGAGTAATGCACTTTTTACAGGAGTCCCATAGAAAACAATAGAGACTCGTTCAGAACTCTGCAGCTCATGAACTAAGAGGAGGGAACACATTAGCTCTAGCTGCTCTGCACTGGTGGTTCCACACAGGATTGACTTTAAGGTGCTCCTCCTCACACACAAGGTTCTGGATGGACCCAGTTACACAGCTGCCTCTCTAGTGAACTTTGTTCCCTCTAGAACCCTGAGAACATCTGCAGCAAATCTATCAGAGGTTCCAGCCCAAAGAAAATCTTAGATGCAACTTTTGTAAACTACAAGTTGTGGAGCAGACTTGATATCATAGAAGCTGGTTCAGCAAATGTCTTTAGGACATTTCTCTCTACTTCAGACTTTAACTAGATCTTACACTTAAACTCCTGTACTTTTAACATTGTGTTTCTTTTGTTTGTGACCATTATTAATTTTAAATTAAATTTTTTTTTTTATTTCCTTATCTTTTAAATGTAATTTTAACAAGATCTTATACGTCTTAAAATCGGTTATCTTCTTATTTGAATACATTTTAAAATGTTTATATTTGTATCCATATTGTATATAAAGCTGCATTCCTTTAGGTGCTATACAAATACATATTAATAATAATATTAATAATAATAATTTGTTAAATTTATGTTACATGTAATATATATGTAACATAAATGATGATTTGTTTTTCCCGATTCTTTACTGTAAATGTTTTTTCCTGATCTTCCTCTGAGGCTCTGTCTGATTGGCTGGCTTCAGTTAGCATCATCATGATGTCACCAGGTGACAGTGTCTGCAGCAACAACCCAACAGGAAGTAAAACTCTGATTCTTCCTGGAAACTCCAGGTAAGGTGGCATTGAATTGGCTGCAGAAAAGTCACATGACCGTTCAGGTCACATATGCAGAAACACATGTAAATGTATGTATATCTGTTTGTTTAATGCTTTATTTTGTTTGTCTGTCTCCAGAGGACGTGGTCTGGATTCTTCAGTGTGTCTGAATGCAGGAGGTCGATACTTTGTTGACGTCGTCTTTAACAAACAGTCTGGATCTGATGGATCTCACATCCTCATTGACTCGGTGAGGAGAACTTCTGGTGCGCAAATAAACTTCTGCCCTAACAGCAATGGACCAATCAGAGGTCAGATCCAGTGTGTTCGGTGTGAACATCTGGCTGAAGTCAGGGTTGAGTCCTCATGAAGACACTAAAATGTTTTCTTCTGAATTAGTTACTTCAAATTGTAGATATATATTGTGCAGTGTTAAAGGTTTAGTGTGTAGAATTTAGTGATATCTAGAGGTGAACTTTCGTGTTGCAGCTGAATACCCCTCACCTCACCCTCCCCTTCCCAATATGAAAGAGAACCTGTGGTGAACTTTAACCCTAACCCCATCATGAAAAGTTTTTAAATATAAAGATCCATTCTATGGTAATTAAAACCACAATTCATACAATTTAAATGAAATACACCAGTGAAAACATCACTAGGATAATTTTATATTCAATTTCTGCCAAAAATCCTTTTCACCTAAATCTTACACACTGAACCTTTAGTAATATGCATATAGTATTTATTTTTTTAATTAATGTTTGCACTAACACACCACAGAAAACTCTGTATATAATCTACCTATCAATAAACTCCATATCTGACTCTGATGTGTTTTCAGATAGGTCTGATTCCGAGCATAGAGTCTGTCCAGAACTGCTCTCAAAGTGAACTTCAATCTTTGAACTGCATCGGATTGTCTGTTGAGCTCCACTCACAGGATTCACTCCCAGAAATCTGTCAGGGACTGATCAAGAGCATGTCAGCACGAATCCACCACGGAGCTGTTCGTAAGTAGCGCAACATAGCAGCTGTTGTATGTGCATTCAACATGTGGAAGAGATTTTTCTTCAGCATTTAAAAACCTAAAAATTCTCTGTTGTGAATGTATCTCTGTTTCATCTGTTGCCAGCTTGCAGGTGTAACCTCCTTGGCTCTCTAGGACCAGCTTGCAGTAAACTGGGTGGGTTCTGTGAATGTAAACCCAATGTGATTGGCCGTTGCTGTGATACCTGTGCACCAATGACATTTGACTTGGGACTCGACGGCTGCAAATGTAAGAAAGTCTCATATTTAGAAAATCTGACATTTCTAGAATGATACAATAAGATGACAGATTTTTCTATGGTGTAATTTGCAGTGTGCAGGTGTGACGCTCGTGGTTCAGTGTCGCAGCTGTGCGATCAGGTCAGAGGTCAGTGTGTGTGTCGGTCAGACGTGACGGGGCAACGTTGCAATCATTGTCACACAGGATTCTGGGGTTTCCCCTTGTGTCGACCCTGTGACTGTAACAGTCTATCTGAGACATGTGATGAAGAGACCGGGGAGTGTTTCAACTGCAGAGAACACGCCACCGGACCACACTGTGACAGGTCGTACACACTCACCGAGCACTTTATTAAGAACATCTGTAAACCTGCTTCATGCAATCAGCCAATCATGTAGAGGCTGAACAAAGTACAAAAGTGTAAATAACAAACAATATATTGAGATCTGGTGACGGACAGATCATGTGCTTCACATTATTTTCCTACTTATTCATTCAGTGAAGTTTTAATTATCATTCCATCATAGGTCAAAGGTCATCACTCAAAACAACTTTATATTATTTACAGTGACTCCTCCCTCTAAAGAAACAATGGACCAAAACCAAACCACTTAACAGAGCCACCAGGTCTCCAACCTGGACTGGATAAGATGGATTGGACTGTAATAGACTGGATTAGACTGGACTGGACTGAAGTAAACTGAAGGGAACTGGAACAGACTTGACTGTACAGGCCTGGACTGTACTAGACTATACTTAAGTGAACTGGACCGGACTGGAGGAGGTCAAGTATTGTGAACTGGACTGGACTCTACTGGCATCTATTGTACTTGTATCCTGGGAGAGGGATCCTCACATGTGACTGTCTGAGCTTTATTTACTGTTCATAAAGTTTCTTCTTTACTCTTGTTGAGTTAAGAACAGAGGATGTTGCTGCTTGTGAACATCTATGAGACAAACTGGGATTTGTGAATAAATACAAATAAAATGTGATTGATTGATTGACATGAACTGGACAGGACTGTCACACATGTAGAATATGACACTGACTCATGACGACATCACTGTCTTTACATGTCTGTAGATCAGTCTGTGGTTTAAATGTGTGTTGTCACTGTATGTTTTGTATGTTCTAACTGACATGTGATCATGTCCTTTAGTCACAACTTGTTTAACTGTGAATATATAATCATAACATCACACACACGTGAGATGGTGTTTTTGTATGTCAGAGTTCTTTATGACACCATTTTAAATGTGTTCACAGGTTTGTGAATCAGATTTGATTTTCTGCATATTCCTCAGAACTCTTACCCTAACCCAAACACTGAGATTTAAAAGCTGTAATGACGCCTTTGTTACTGATGCAGGTGTGTGGAGGGTTACTATGGAAACCCCATCTTCAGACAGCCCTGTCAGCCCTGCTTGTGCCCAGACGTGAAGAACAGTGGAAAATTCTTTGCCACTTCCTGCCTACATGACCCACAATCCCTTAGTCTGACCTGCAACTGCCAGGAGGGGCACACAGGTAGGAGCTGGTGTGAAATAAGGAGGTCTTTGGGGATCCAACATCACTTGATTGACACTCGAGACCCTTTAAAAGCCTCAACAGTAAAATTTCAACGGTTTTCTGGAAAACATTTTTTTTTTAAATATGTCCAGTAGAAGGTAGGCAGGGTTTCTGCTATGATAATTTTGCAGACATACATTATAGGTCCAAAGTCCATGTCCTCCCGCTGATCTGCACTCACTTTATACAGTAACAATAAACACCAACACTCATCAGAAGTTTTTAGGATCTGAACAGAACAGCAGGTTCACTTTGTTTGATTCGGGGGTTAGGGTTCAAGAGTTTATGAGACTACTTGAAAAAAAGTTCTCCCTCTTTTGCAAGCACACCGTCTACCTGCTACACGAGACGAGACAGTGTTAAAGTGATCGAAATCATGGATTAATAACTAAATTCATGTGATTTTCAGTTTGTGTGAAGAGTAACAGAGAGAAGCAGACACACACACACTCTTGCAGACAGGACAGAAATGAATACACACAAAAATATGATACAACACAGTTTTCAATGTTGCTTCATTGCTGAAGCGATGCCCAGTTTATCCAGGAATATAAATATGAATTCAGCAGGTTTTTAAAAAGATTAGTTCTAAGTGTGATTAGAAAGCATCAGCAGAGCCGCCTAGATACTGTTACGGCTATAATATAATTTTCACCTCATAAGCCTGCATTCATATGTAGAGCATAAAAATATGATAATAACTATTTATGTTAATATGTTATTTATTTATTTATTTATTTATTTATTTTGAGGGGGTGTCAAATTCTGATCAGTGAGGGGGTACTTCAGTATAACACTGGCGAACTTGTCAGGGGGGACCGCCCGACTGCCACTGAGTAGGAGCAAATATTTAGATGACGGTACAACCTCACATGAGTTCCTGTCCTGGGTTCAGATTCCTGTTGGGTTGTTTTCTGCTGATCAAACATGAATGCTGGAAAAAAAACACCACTGACAGGTGTGATACACTGAGGATACATGAGTTACACTTGTCAACGTGATCTGTTTATGTACATAAACTTTTTAAACATTTATAATGATGAATGAAATAAAAAAAACTTTCAGGTTCACGATGCAACAGATGCAGCCCTGGTTTCTATGGTGACCTGACGTTGCCAGGTGCCCGTTGTGCAGAGTGTCCCTGCAACAACAACATCGACCTGGACGACCGTAACGCCTGTGACAGCCTGACAGGTGAATGTCTGGGCTGCCGCCACAACACGGTGGGACCACGATGCCAAAGCTGCAAACCTGGTTACTATGGCAACGCTCTGGTCCAAGACTGCAAAGGTACAGATAGAGAGTATATTATTTTAATTATAATTATTACTATTATAAACCTGTAGCTTCTTTTCTAATCAAGATATTTAATCCATCTGACTCTTCACACCTTGACTCCTTCTTCCCGCTCATGAAAGTCACAGGTCTGAACCTTTGCTGCTGAGAAGCTTTTCACCTTCTCCACTCTGTGACCTCTGACATTTGAAAAATACCATCAATACATCAATATTCTCAGTCCAGGCTCCATGCTGGAAACTGTCTGGGCAAAGTTTTGAGTTCAATTTTATTTGTATGGTGCCATTATCTCAAGGCACTTAGCTGTTATGTTAGAGTTGATATACAGAATTAAAAACAAGAGAGCAAGACAGAGAACAATCTGACTTCCACATGTATGATATCCCTTATGTATTGAATCTATTGTATATTTCCCAGAATGCTCCTGTGACCGGCGTGGGACGGAGGTGACTCATTGCCCTCTGGGGAGTTCTTGTTACTGTGATCCAAGTACAGGACAATGTCCGTGCAGGACGGGTGTCTTGGGAGTCCTCTGTGACCAATGTGAGGACGGATACTGGAACCTGGACGGACCGTCAGGATGCCAGCCCTGCAGCTGTGATCCTGTCAACTCCTTCTCCAACATCTGCAACAAGGTCTGGCCTCAAACTAAGAAATAATCCAAATGACCACAGGGTCGTTTTTCATACACAGTTTCTACTCTGATGTTATAATTCTTTAGTTTAGCTCACGCTGCAGAACAGGCACAAGATTCATTGATTGAAATATGTTCTTCAATAAAACAGCTGAATGATAAAACAATAAGAGATGGACATAAATACAATATATAAGGTCATCAATAATCATGTGATGTGTTCAGGTGATGGGACAGTGTCCATGTCGTCCTGAGTTTGGAGGGAGACAATGTGACGAATGTGGAGAAAATCATTTTGGGAATCCAGACCTGCAGTGTATCTGTGAGGGAGAGCAAACACACACACACACGTACTTTATCCAACAACTGTGGTTTTTATTTCGATTCATCACTTCCTGTTCTCAGCTTGTGACTGTAACCTGGAGGGAACCAAGCGCCCATCATGTGACCCTGAAACCGGAGAGTGTATCTGTCGAAGAGGAGTCACCGGTATCTTCTGTGATGAGTGTGCCCTCGGCTACAGCTCGGCATTCCCAGCGTGCAAGGAGTGCCACCCGTGCACCACTCTCTGGGCTGAAAGTGTCACAGATGTCCATCGAGCAGCACAGAAAATGAGAACCTTCATCCCTCGCCACGGCAAAAACCTGCGGCCTGGAGAGAGTCACCCCCGGCAACAGATGCTGCAGATGCACTCCACGCTGGACAGCCTCACCAATCTGACAGGACTGTCACTGCAGAAGTTAGAGACGGTGGAAAAACTTTGTATGAGGATTGGGTGAGTTTTCTACTGTTGTCACATGTTTGTTCTTCTATGAGGGTGTTTCATCTGTTTTACAGTTTTCTTCTTCTATTGTTTAAATATTAAAAATAACATGAGTCATTGTTTCATGAGAAAAGCTCTGATTTTTAATGATGCTGGACGCCTGAGCTCCATCTCTCCCTAAAATATTAAAGTTAATGAAACATCTCTAAATGTTTTCTGTCTCACAGGAAGTTGAAAGCTGCCGTTGATCCAAACATGATCCTTATCGATCCATCTCCTCTTCTCAACACTGAAATGGAAAACATTCGTCAGGAGTTTAAGAGGCTGCTGAAAAGTGTGAAGGAGAATGTGATGGAGCTTCCACATGAAGAAGAGGAAGAAGGAGATGTGGACGGTACAGAAATAAGAGTTTTCTCTGATTCACCATTGAAACTTAAAGCAAACGTTCATCACAAACTCTGAAGCTGATTGGGGATGGATGGATGATGGAGGATGGATGGATGGATGAATAGAGGATGGATGGTTGAATGGTTGGATGGATGGATGGTTGGATGGATGGATGATGGAGGATGGATGGATGAATAGATGATGGATGGATGGATGAATAGATGATGGATGGTTAAATGGTTGGATGGATGGATGGATGGATGGATGGGTGAATAGATGAATAGATGGTGGATGGATGATGAATGGATGATGGATGGATGGATTAAACCTGCTGAACTGATTGTATCCTATAACTCTGGAAGTAACATTTTCCTCTATGACATGAACAGAATTCAAACTGTAATGTTAAATTTATTACATTTAAACTTTTAACTTTTAACTTTTAACTTTTAACCAAACTGACAAGAATTCAGTAAAAAGTAGAATTTTCGATTGATCAGATTTTCTTCTTCTGTGATTTGTTGCAGAGCTGCTGGGCGAGATCCAGAAGATTCTGAAACATTTCATGTTGGATGAAAAAAGAGTAATAAGTGCAACTAAAGCTTTAGACGACTCCGTGGACATCAGACAGGAAGTGAAACACAAACTGAGCATTTGCGGCAGCAGAGGAGACATGACGCCAGTGGAGAAGAAGATCACAGAGCTCAGCGTGGTCAACCTAAACCGACAGGTAAGTTCATACCTGCACAGGTACATGACCAAAAGGTGCCGCCATGACATAATCCAAACATAAAAAAGACATCATAAAGGGGGTTTCAGGCTTTTGCCTTTTAACATTGTGTTTTATAGAAACACTCCTTTTAGATTAAAAGGATGTTTTTAGTTTCATTTATTTTGTAATACATTTCAGTCAGGACCACTTTATGCCTCTGCATAATTTACATTTGGTGGTTTACCTCTGTTCTGGGACCTCCTGGGACCTCCCTGTCCTCCATGTGCATATGTGGGAAGCTTAAGGCAGCAAGAGCCCCAAAGGGAACAGAGCAGAGCGGCATCATAGACAACAGAAATGACACTGAATGAATTAAACACAGTGTAAAAGGGGGGAGCAGGGGTGGAGATGGGTCGCAAAATGACTTGCAGCTGATGCAGCTTAAATAAGGCGCCTTTTTGATCTTTGCCAATGAATGAATAAATGAAAGGGAATCTGAGATGCTGAGCTTGACTTCCTGTCTGAGCGCTGTGCTCAATTTATTTATCATATACTTTCATTAACATATACATTTGTTTATTATTGGATGGATTGTTGGATGATGGAAGGGTTAAAATTTTGGTGATTTCATGTGATTGATTATGTCAGGTAATGTGTTCATGGCCTTGAAGCAGCTTGTTGTGGTCTGATGCAGATCTGTGGACGACCAGGTCTGGACAACTGTTCTGGATGTGGTGGAGCTCTGTGTGTTCTGGCTACAGGACGAAGGAAATGTGGAGGTTCAAGCTGTGACGGAGTCATAACCATCAGTCACCACGCTTCAGAACGAGCAGAGAAAGTGAAGGAACAACTCATCTCACTCCCATCGAGACTTGAGGAGTCCAAGAACAAGGCAGGTTCACACTGAGACCACTTCTGATGTTCTGGTTCTGGTTCTCATCCTGAGACCAAAAAGAATCTGTTTAGCAGGTGTAACTTTTTATTCAGAGAATAACTAAATTAAAAACATCACTTGATGTTTAAACAGATTATTGATTAACACGTTCATGGTTAGGCACAGCTGCTCAAATTTAATTAGATTAAGTCTTGTACCGGATCCTTGTCCTGATCCCTTTGAATGACACAGTTTGACATTTTTTCTGCTTGTTAATGGATCTCAATGCTGAACTGAAACTTGAAACTGGGAGGAAGTTTACCGGCCATAACATGACTGAATGATTATAGATACATCCACAGGATTGATGGTAAAACAATTTCCTTCTTCACTGAGATCAGTGTTGTTCAACTGTTTGTTCTGGGTCAGATGAACCATATGAAACAGGCAGCTCAGGACTCCAAAGACCAGGCTAAAGATCTGCACGATCGGATCAACGCGCGACTAGACACCTTTGAAAGAGAGAAGAACAGAACCAGGGAGGTGATCCAGCAAACCAAAGACTACCTGATGGGTCAGTGTTCGGGTGTTACTCTATAAACCTGGGGTGGTATTCATCCTTCATCCATCTATAAGTCCTCTAGCATCAAAAGTTTCACTTGTAGTGACACAATTCAAAGAACATTTTATTGAATTATGCTGTTTCTTTTAAACAGGAGAAAATTATGCGTCAAATTATTTCAGAAAGATTAGCAGCATTTTTAAGTAAGTGGTTGAGTAAGTTTGTGTGCTGTTGTCTCCTCTCTTTTGGACTGAAATACATACCACTGATTTACACTCTCGTCACTACTGCAACCAAACGTTTATCTCTACACCTCACCGTTGGATCCAAGGCCAAATGTTACTCTTAATTTGTTTGACACCTTTCTGTTAAATGAGCTGAGAACTCACCACTCAGCAGAAGAAAATAATAATAATCTTCTGCAAAAACAAAAGACTCTACAGATACCCAAAAGAACTAAAAGCTGCAGTATGGTGAATAAACAGCGAACACTAAGCCACAGTGTGGAAATGTTTCCTGCAGGAAAACATCTGTTGATATGGTGCTACAGAGGAAACAACTGAAGAAACTTTATTCATCATGTTTTCAAACAGATGACATGGTTCCTATTGAAGACATCGAGAAAATGGCCATAGCTGTTCTGAACATCCAGCTGCCACGATCACCTGCTCAGATCCGATCAATGATTGATGAAATCAATCATCTACTCTCAAACACCGCACATGTCCAGGATGAGCTGAAGAAGCTGGAGGAGCCTGTGAGGCGAGCCAAGGACCTGCTGCAGAAAGCTCAGGAAGTCAAGTCAGTGTTCGCAAACATCTAAACTACTGTTAAAATGTCAAACTTGTTCAAATGTGAAAATGTCTAT